GTATATAGGCAATGATTGAAACAGTGTTGATCCTCTTTCGGTCCGCGGTCTTCCTACAGCTTCGGCTGAGGACTGGCTGCTTTGGGTTAGTGGCAAGATTGGTGGATCTTGGGGAAGTGGTTTTGTTGATGGAAGCCGAATTTTCTTCTTTGCTTCAATCATGTACTATGTGTGGTGTGAAGAAGCTCTTTGTGAGTGTTATCGATGATTATGTATGCATAAACCTGCGGAGGCACATGTGAACGTTCCTGGAGTCCGCTGACTGGGAGTGAGTGAGCATGAAGTGAACTGATCTGTTGTACATTTGAAGATCGATTGTGCATTTTGAAGCATCAAGCGAATGCTGTTTATTGAAGACCGGCTTTGAAGACATGGCCAGCGGTGGCCATAGGGAGGGAGATCGCCAGGCGAGACGGTCTTATACTCCTGATCGTGGGAGACGTGAGTATCGTGAGAACAGTCGGGAGAGACACAGCACGGCTGACGGCAGAGGACGAGAGAGTAGGCGGGATCTTTCCGCTGGTGATGCGCCACGTCGAGGACCACCAGTTTGCTTCGGATATAAGGTGATTGGACACTATAGGTCCGATTGCTGGCGCTTCTGGACAGACCCAACGACACGACCGCAGATGGAAGCGGACGGGTATATTTGCCCTCCGGAATTTGGTAAACGTGGGAGATCGGCTTCACCGCTGAGGGCACAGACGCCAACTATGGTGAACCAACCAGCAGCACACAATCGGATTGATGAGATAGGCCGTAGTGTGGCCTCTCTGCAAGAGTACGTAGAAATGGAGCGGGTGCGGCGGATGGAACGGGAACAACGTCGGCGCGAGCGTGAAGAAGCTCGACGGGCGAAAGAAGAATTTCGTCGGGCAGAGGAGGAGCGACGCGCGAGGAAAGCTGAAAAGCAACGTAAACAGGAGGAAGAGAAGATGGCGATGGCGAAAGCGGTAGAGGTGCAGCTCTCCCTGCGGCTCGGGGGGATTCGCGAAGACATTCACACCGAAGTTCGACGGGCGGTTACCGCCACTGTGACGAAGAACCAAATAGGCACTACTACAGAGCTGCCGGGGAAAGGGAAAGAGAAGGCTGTTGAGGATGTACCCTCTTCCTCGGAAACTGCAAGTGAAGTTGAAGCTATCACTGAAGGTACCGAGAAGCTCACTATACAGGAGAAGCGGAAGACGGGTGAGGATCTCCCGGTGGGCGACAGTCCCAAGGTGACGACTCCGACCAAATGCGCTAGTCGGAAAGTTAGCGTGAGGCCGTTATGTTTGGCAGACCGACTGCAGCGTAACCGCACACGCGTCAGGAAAGCGAACCGGGGAGTTGCAACTAGGTCGTTGACTGCGGTCAAACAGCCAGCACGAGACCTGGCGATGGAGCGGATGGTCTATCTGGACCAAACAAGGCGCGAACTGTCCAAATTGGAGTACGATCGTCTCAGGGCAATCCGCCGTGACGAGGATGTGAATTACACCACGAAGGTGCAGGCGATATTTGACATCGCCGATCAGCGGGCGCTACTAAGATATGGGGAAGCGTTGCCTGAACCTGAACCCTTCGTCAACCTCGATAATGTTGACGGACACTCGAGTCCCGAAGGCTCCGGCGATGAGGCTCACGCCTGACCTGATTTGACTCTCGAACAATGGACATGTGTATCTGAGGTGTTGATGTCATATCGGCGCAGTGATCAGCCAGTCATTGACAACGTAGATGCGATCTTCCGATTGTTGATTGTCTTATTCGGTGTACGTGGTCGTTATCGTTGGTTAAATAAGTGCGTGGATTCGTGGTTGTGACTCTATCACCGTTTTGGCCTTGAATTTCTCGATCTGCCTAACTGTGTGTACGTGGTGACATCAGTGCGTTGTAAATCGCAATACATCGGGCAGACATCACGCAAGCCTTGTGTAAGGTGGCGTGAGCACCTGTCGGTAAGTAAACGTGAGGCCAAGAATAATCATTTGTACCAATGGTGGAAGTGCTTTGGTGTTGAGTCGTACGCTTTGATTCCCGTTGATGTGGTTGAACCTTCAGACTTGATTTCTGTGGAGTCTCTCTTCATACGTCGTTGGAGTCCCTTTCTCAATTCTGCCGGCAAAGTGGCAGGGAGTAGAGGGAAGTGTAGACCTGGGAAACGGGAGAGGCAGAGGGGTAGGACGGGAGAGAGGGACAACACCGGCGAGTGTCGAGGGATTCACCCGATTAGAATGAGACTGTCTGTCGATGATGTATGGTCTGTTGACATCTTTAACATTCTTTAGAAATTAGACGCTAATGGGACTAGAAGTTTCTCCCTGTTCGTGGAAGGAGGTTCGACGTGGTGTGGGAGTTGGAAAGGTATCCGGAAGGCCTTTGGGTCTTCAACTATATCTAATGAAGGAAGGACGAGTCGTTTATTCGATTTTAAAGAAGTTTTTGAACATGAAGGGTGTATCACTTTCCATTATCTTAAACGATGGAGAGCTAAGAAGAAAGTGAATAAGCCTTTCCTCGTCTCGCTGCTAAGAAACCCACTACGAATCGAGTCTCTGAAACGTTGGGATCTGGAGTCCCTGTCGAGGCTGTTTAACTGTGTTAAGGAGTTCGAGAAGAAAGGTACACGTGCCTATTTGAGACGACTGATTGGTCATTGTGTTCGTGAGGGGTTTGGTTTTAATTTTTCCGCTAGGATTGTCGTACGTTTGTTGTTTGACGATCGGGTCAGACTGTCAGAGGTTCGAAAGTTGGTCAACGACAAGTTGGGGAGTTTTGTCCTACCACCTTGCGTGGTCCGGCGCGCACGACGAAAAGTCCGCATGATTTGGACTCGTAACCCAAAAATCGCGGATCTAATACACAACCACCGGGTATATGCTCCGAAGAAAGTGTTGCCCTGCACTTGTGCAGGCTTACCGCACCCACGGGTGCGAGGTCACGTGCGCTTCAGACTGCGAGAGTTGCCAGGATTACCCCCCCTGCTCGCCAATGCCAACAACGTGCCGAAGGCACAACGGAATCATAGATTGATGATGTTGGGATCAAAGATCAGTGAAGCTTTCAAACTGTGGCCAAATGCCAAGGGGCAGTCTGTTTTGTGCTCCATTCAAGAGCTGAGTAAGTGTATGACAGCTTGTTGCATATCGACGAGTGGGGGCCTGGATCGGAGGGAGGTGTTTGACTTGAAAACACGTCTCGACGGCCTTGTCCTTACTCCACTCGATTGGAACCCTGGCGAGACACTGGTTATGTGCCCTTTGTTGTACTACGAGGGAATGATGTCTTTGTTCATTCGGAACGACGGGTACCTCCCGGTTGAAGGGAAGGTTTCCACCGTACTGGAGGAGATGAAAGCTGATCTGGAATTGGATGGACTGACGGAATTTGCGCGGTGGGATAAGAAGGGTACGATTGGGCAAGCCTACGCCATGCCCAAGCACAAGGACCTGGACAAGTTTAGACCCATTTGCCCTTCTTATCCGGAGCCAACAGCCCGGACAAGTCGGGTAGTCGCAAAGGGTTTGAACCATCTCTTGTTTAACCTTCCTCAGGATTGGCACTTCAACCTGAAGGCCGTCTCGGATTTAAAAACCACCTTTGAGAAGTTCAATTGGAATATCGAGAAATGGAATGTTGAGCCGGAGATTGAAGCAAGATCTTTCGATATAAAGGACATGTTTAGCTTGCTCCCGCATCAGGATATTTTGGATGCCGTAGATTGGATTCTCGACTTCCACACATCGAAGAATCATGTGTTTGTAGGTGTTAATACACGAGGTAGAGGCGCAACATTTGGTCAGACAACCGGTTACGATCATTGGCGAAGATTGGATTTCGGGGAAATACGCAAATTCGTTGTTTTTGAACTGACTCATACCTTCAGGACAGCGTTGGGGGTGCTGTTGCAACAGAAGGTTGGCATACCGATGGGGAAGAGTACGAGTCCCCCACTGGCATGCATTATGTGCGCTCGTGCAGAGTACGTGTTTTTGAGCAGTCTGGGAAACAGGAGGAGGAATGTCTTTGGAGTGCGGTTGATCGACGACGTCAGTCTGTTCTTGGCAACTGGGAATTTGTCAAGACATGAAGTGGAGGAGTTGTATGTACAGTTCGCACACTGCTATCACGACAATCTTACCCTGAAGAGGACTGATACGGGTGAGGGATTGTTGGATTTTTTGGGGTGCGAAGTCAGAATTGGGCGAGCACCGCCATACATTGTCAGTGTGCAGGTCTCGAAGAATAAGGCGTCGGTTTGGGAAAGCGAGAGTTTAACTTTCCAAAATGGGCAGTCGTATCTGTCATGAGGCAGCAAGCTTCAGAAGAGTGCCGTCTTGGCTAGCCACCTGCACAGGATTGATCGGAATACAACCGCAAGGTTTGAAATTCCCAGACGAGTGGTTACGCTCAAACGGGAATCACGGCTGAAAGACGTCCCACAGGATTTTTTCGGACGGGAACTGAAGAGGTTTGCCCACGGACGAGATGCTTGCTGGAGGTTGACTGCGGATTTGCTGGCAACTTCGGCATATGCCCGTGTTGACAGGGTTTGGGGGCTTTGGTTGTCGTGTTTGAGTGCTTCATTTCCCTTCCTTTTCCTTGGATAACGTGCATGCTTGATCTGGGCCCCTGAAGCAGGGCCGATGTTTCGTGTGGCTTGGCTACGAGACTGACCAGGTGATAGGCTAGGGGTGTAGTTTACCTGTCTCTTATACACATCTAGATGTGTATAAGAGACAGCCACTAGCATGCTCGGGGAGACTCCATCTATTGGTGGGGAGCAGCACCTGCTGGAAAGCGGGTCCAGCGTCCCTTAACATTTGAACTGTTGGATGTGATGACAAATATGATTGCTCAGCTCATACCTGCCTCTTCGGCCAGCTATCATCTGAGTTGCATCTGCTGGAAACCGGGTCCAGCGTCCCATTTACCAGAGCCTAGGCCATAGTTGGTACCTCTTCACCCTCCTGCCG